GCCTTCATACCGCTTTTCAACCGCAACAATGTCTTGATGAAATCGCTCGCATTGTTCATCACTTTCAGCACCCAAATTCGGAGGGGAAAAATCCAAATGACTGTGAAGTAGGTGCATTTTCAAAGACCTGTAAGCATAAGAAAAGTTGAATGTTGTTTTTTATAATCTTTAAGTAAATTAATATGGTTAATATATTTTGAAGTATGTACGTATTTCAATACTAACCAATAGAATTGAACTCCTTCATCATTGTATGAATTAACTGACAATCGCTTTTTCTCCTGTTGTTTCCCAAGAATCCATATACAATTTTTTGGTAAGCTTTAGCTTCGGAATTGTTCAACCATTGTTGAAACTTTCTGTCAGAAAATAACTGTTCAGTTTGTAGACAGACGAATATACCTGCTTTAATTCTCTCTGTTGTCAGTTTTGGAAACTTGGTTTTCAAGTATTTTAGAACTTTTCGCCAAAGCGTTGACTTGATGTTTCATAAGCCAAAGTTTTATATGCAACGGGGGAAAAAATAACTGTTTTTTGTCAACAAGTACTTTTTTGAAAACGTTGCTTCTTCCCACGACATGTGTGCTATCCCAAAGACACAAAGAACAACTGTATTCTGTATAGCCGCCCTGTGGACCAGTCAGAATAATAGTAATAAAAATAAACTCCGATAATTTTCAAGAAAACATCAAAAATGCCCTTTTTTCAACTTTCAACGACTATTTTGGGAACACTACGAATTCGATTGACACAAATCATATATTGACGTAAATTGAATCTGTATGCCTTTCGCAAATAACACACTTCACCAAAACTATGCTCACTGTTTCCGAGATTTCAGATTATAACTGCACAAGTTTTTTGCAAAAATATAGAAAGACGGTTCTTTGGAAAACAAAATTAGTGTCATTTTATTTTTCAGCGACCTCAAGTTAGTCTACAAAACATCTTTTTGTCGAGGTACAGCAAAAATTTGTATTCTTGTGTAATAATTACTGAAACAACGTTTTCTGACTTCACTTTCGGACGTGAAACATTCTTTTGTTTGTATCTCAGAAGACTATGGATAAACTCAAACTAATGAGTCTAAGAGCAACCATTATAGGAGTTGACACGCTACACCACGGCCGCCAAGTTGTAAAACGGCTATTCAACAGATTTTCGTAATCAGTGAGCCAATTTTAACTTCACACATCTTACTCCTTTTTATAAGAACAAACGTATTTCATATCTACACATTTTTTTTAATAATCGAGTAGTTATTCAGATATATCAAGGTCTCCGGTTTTTATCAATTTGTGCAGCTACTTGAATAACACAAATTTAAATGTGGAAAAGGTTCATTTTTGGCAGATTAAAAAACAATTTAGAACAATTGTATATTATGTAAACACTAAACGCGAAAACTGTCCTCAGCATTTGCATATTCAACATTTTTTCGTCTGTTCGAGATTGGTTATTATTCTACTAGAAATGGAGCCTTTTATCACTTGAATAAGAACTATTTGAACAACTGCACTGCAACCAATTCAAAAAGATATGTAATAGAACATATTTTTTTCAAAAAATAGTAAAGTCAGGTTCAAAAGGTAATATCGAACCGCTCGTTACGACATGTTGAATAACTAAAGCTTGACGATAATTTTTGAAAATGGCCGCCATACAACCACGATTTGGATTGCGTGACCCGATTTTTCATAAAACATGCTCCTATAGGTGTCAAGTAATGTCCCGCATTCAATCTGGGGGGCGGACATTAGTGGTGGCTCCCTCATTAGATACATTACACAGGTACTTATAGGATTTTAAAAAGCAGTGACGTAGATATGCATCAACATAATATGTTTGACTCATTTGGGAGTGCTTGTATTATGACTTTTGATGCTGCTAAAGTTTTCAACTAACTATGAAAAAACATCCACTGTTTTGCAGTTCCATTTAAGCAGTGTGGTTTTCCTGATCGCCCTGTGATGTCAACATGGTTGATCCACAGTGCTCACTTTTCGTCATACCCTTATTTCTGAAAATATCGGCAAATGAATTAGGAGACAGGCAAAGAAGCTATATTCCCAAATATGTGGAAAGTAAAATTACTGCAAGTCAGTTGTACAGGTCTGTGAATAAAACCTAAGTTATCCGTTTGATGCTGAATGGTTTCTTATTATAAATGCTCTGAAAATAACTACAAAAGTTATACTGCAAGTCAAAGGTCCAACTGCTGTGGCAAAGGCTCAGAGTGCATTAAAACAATACCTGCATTTTTAAACTTCTGCCTTTCCTTGGAAAATTAGCCTACCTGACGTAATTTTCTCCGTAACACCATCGGAAGTCCAATCTGCAACTATCTTTCTCGCTCACTTAAATATGACTTTCAAAGACGCTAAAGACAAGCGCAAACTCAACATGAAACAGTCTTGAAGGAGCTTTAGATCCATATTCATATTTAATAGGATAATTCCAGCACAAAGTTGGCCTGAGGAGATATACTTGAAAGTCGGGTTATTCAGAAAGCTGCACCAATTAAAAGTTTATCTGATGTGCACTTTCCGATTCTGGAGTTTCGTTGCTTATATCTTTGCAGAGTTGGTGTATAATCAGCAGCAGTTGTAGTAGTAGTAGCAGTAGTAATGATCGGGAAGTAAATCAACTAGGCGACCTTTCACCCATTCTACCAACACTGTACTACTCCACATGCTCATCTACTGGTAACTCATTGATTGAGCAGGCCCAGCTTCAGCGATACGATACACCTGTCTGATCTTGTACTTATCTGGTGGTTTACAAAGTTGCTCTTATAGATAGCTGTCTATACTGTAATTGACATTAGTGGATATGCGGGGAACACATGCATCTAATATATTTTTTAATTTACTGCACTCAAGCAGCCCTAAAACGAATGTTTAATATCTTGGAAACAAATCCTTGATAACCTAGAAGAAAAGGAGTGGTTGCCTCTATAATAGTTTTTTATCAGCATCAAGAAGAGGACGCCAAAGAACTATGCATAAGATAGATTACCGGTAAGAAAAGCTCAGATTAAAAAACGTCCGTTGATGTGCGAGACGGCACTACCAAAAAGTGTAAATGCTCTTTCCTGAACTGCATCAACTATGAGCAGTGTGGTTAGAGCAGCACCTAGCCAGGTATCTGCGCGGCACTTTAGACAGGACCTTATCAGAGTTTTGCACAGAGTAAATAGGTAAGATCACTGTAACGCGTGACACACGGTGCGCGTGCCTTCCACTAAGTCGTAACCAGAGCCAATGAGACTAGGGTTCGCTTTGAGGTAGGGGTTCCCTTTGGTAAACTTTTTCTTCAAACCACTTTTGCTTCAGACTCAACCACACCACTGCATTTGATGATGAATTATGTAGATATATCCTCTTAACAGCTCTGAGCAAACATTACAGACGAACCGGACGGAGGAGAGACCGGGGATGGTCGAGTATAGGGGTAAGGTAGACTAACCGCCAAAAACTCGTCAACGCTATGAGTATTACGTCGTGCCGGCCCAGCTGCGCATTACTCTCCGACCCCGCTCAGACGTCCGGAGCGTCACGTCGTGGATGCACGCCGTTTTCGAGCGTGATTTGTTTTCGTATCATGTAAGTAATATTTTCATATTGCATATTTTTCCACCTGATACTTACACATTTTATGTTAACCATTTGTTTATTAGTCAGAGTGTTTCGTGAGTGCATATTGATAATATTTCATGTATTATTTCTTAAGTTGATGGCAGTGTTTATGTAACCCATGCCATTGAAACTTGATACACCAAAAGATATCCTAGAAAGACCTTGTCATCTAATAATTTTTGACACAAAAAGTATTAATGCAACTTCAAAAAAATATGACATTCCCTATAAGACATTTGATCGTTATGTGGCGAAAGTAAAGGAGAAATTGGCACGTAATCCGAACTTGACGAGATCAGAATTAACTTTGGACTATATTACAAATAGGCAAGTTTTCACTGATGAAGAAGAAGATGCTTCAGCATGTTATTCAAAGAAAGCCGCTGATATTTATTATGGATTGACACCATATGAGATCCGAAAATTAGCATGTCAGTTCGACATAAAAAGTAACAAAGCTATGCCTGATTCTTGGAGAACAAAATTCTTAGCTGCCGAAGATTGGTTAGGCTCATTTCTCAAACGTCATCTTTCTTTATCCGTAAAGACACCTCAAGCAACAAGCCTTTCAAGAGCTACATCATTCAAAAAAGTAATGTCAGTATGTTCTTTGCTAATTTAACTGCTGCTTACCAACGTTTGAATTTTAGCCCTGGTGATATCTGAAACGTTGATGAAACGGGTATGACAACCGCGCAAGTACCTAATAGAGTAATAGCACGACGTGGTGTTAAAAATCTAGGCAAGATGACATCTGCTGAGAGGGGTACACTGTTGACAGTTGCAGTAGCTGTTTCAGCTGTAGGAAATATAGGTCCACCATCCAATATAAGTCCCATTTTGTTAGACGTGGCCCTATAGGATGTGAAGGTGATGCTAATCCGTCTGGCTGGATGAAAGAAGAGAACTTTATGAAGTACGCCAAACATTTCGTGAAACATGTTAAATGTAATAAAGAAAAACCTGTACTTTTGCTGTTGGATAACCATGACTCCCACTTATCAATTGAAGCGTTGGATTACTACTACTACTACAAGCTACAACCCCTTGAGAGATCTGTGCACGGACCATTGAAGAAGTATTTCAACCGAGCAGGTGACAACTGGCTGGCTAGTAACCCGGGAAAGACTATCACAATTTATGAAATACTAGAGCTGTTTAAAACGTCACTACCATTGACTGCTACAGTTGAAAATATTCAATCAGACTTCGGAGTATCCGGGATTTCACCATTGAATGAAAACATTTTCCTGACTCCGAGTTTAGTGCTTCTTATGTGACAGATAGGCCGATGCTCACTTCCCCTGATGGTGATAATCCTTCAGCATGCGATGTGAGCACAGTGTCTGCCATCGACTTCCGATGCATCTAACAATAACTGAAACTCACTCTCTGGCACCGCAATGTTTATCTGTAAATGCAGACGAGATTACTACCACAACACCCTCTCCTACAAGATCTTTGATGACTGAATGTGAGTCACCTCCTCATTTTGACGAAATATTCAATTCTGTATTTGAACCGGAACTGAGAGAAATCCTCAAAACACCAGAAAACGTTCATCCTACAGAAGCAAATGTGCCCCCATCTTTACACAATCTAAACCTTTCCTCAACTTCAAAGCTAAGACTATTTCCAAAACCACTTTTAGAAAATAGGAAAAACATTCGTAAACGTAAAAGTACTATATATACCGACACCCCGGAAAAACTAAATCTTTTAGATATGAAAAACAAAAGAAAAACATATAAGAAGAAGAAAACAGATACAAAGGACAGAATAGAAAAAGGAAAAGTTAACGGCAAAGGAAAAGGCAAAAGAAAAGGAAAGGGTAAAGGAAAAGGAACGGATAAAGTTGACGAGATTGTTGATGTCACCGTCGATGAAAATCACGGTAATGCTGTAGATTCACATGACGAGAGTACGATTTGTTCAGAGTACACTGAATACTACGTCGATAGTGTTTCAGGCGAAAAATGGATTCAGTGCGTAACTTGTAAGTTATGGGCTCGTTTCAAATGTGTACTAGGTGATCTAATATTTTTGGAATGCAAACATTGCGCTTCTGATATTGAAGACTTATAGTATAATATATAAATGAACTGTTTAATTAATGAAACTAATAAATCTTTAAATAAAAATTAGGAGTTGATAGTTTTGTTAAAGACTCATTGTAAGATAATGTCTGTAACTGATTAAAATTGTTTTTGAATATTAAGTTTTGTTAAATTATAAAAAAAGTTTCATAACTTGACCCTTCTCATAATTTGTCACTTATTGATACGTAGATCTACTTAACCCGGGCATATAGCCAATCTACCCCGGAGCCGGGGTAAACTGACTAAGTATTGGTGTTCTGCAAAATGCGTTAAATTATGATCATTATATTGAATAATGGACTAGTTTGTATATTTTTTTTATAAGTTAAATAGTTCTTCTATCCATTGATGCAGTTTTATTGTCTGTATGCATAAAACCACGAAATAATAATATGTATGATGCAAAAAACTAGCCATCCCCGGTCTCCCCTAATTAATTCGAGTAAGAATGAGGATAACGTGAAACGCTTCAGACTCACACTTATACGATGTTTTTCATGATGATATAAGTTAATGAATAAGAAATCTTATAAAGGCAATTAAATCAGCTCCTAGAACTACGCTTGATATACAGGGTGATTGACAAGTCGTGACTAAAAATAAAACATCATACACATACTATATAAATTATTTTCTTCGAGGGCATTATTAAGAAGATACGGGGTGTTTAAGTTTAAAAATAAATAACATCTTTTCTAATATCTTCAAAACCGTCTACTGGAATGAAATTAAATTTGGTATGTGGATTTATCTAAGGATTGTCCACATTCAAAGGTCTTTTCTTAAAATTAACGTGCACCAGTGGTGGAGATATAGGGGATTAGTGGTGTTACCTTTTTAAATAAAAATAGTACGACACTGTATTTTTTTTCGAAACACACAATTTTCCGAATTTTGCCTTCAATTTTATATAAATAAATACCCTTGTGTTCTTTTTATAGAGCCCATTGTTTTCGTAAAAGTAAAAAAAGACAAATTAGATAAAACTTTATTTCAATAAATGATCACCATTCAGATGGATACAAGTGCGGCATCTTTTTGGTAAAGAAAAACGTATTTCCGCAAAATTTATAGTGGCTTGAATTTGGTGAAACGCGTTATCTATTCTTTCTTGTAACTGATCAACGGTATTAATTTGTTCAGCATACACTAGTCGTTTAAAAGCGCACCACAAAAAGAAATCCAGGGGGTTAAAATCAGGAGACCTCGCAGGTCAATGTACGAGTCCGTTTTTGCCAATCCATTGTTGTCTAAAACGATTATTTAACCTTGCAGCTATGTCATGACGAACATGCGGTGGAACACCGTTGTACTGATACCACATTTATACTCGCGTTGCTAACGGAACTTCAGCTAACACATTCTCTATGTAATTTTCTAGGAAAGCTAGATATGAGTTTGCATTCAAACGTTGTGGCAATACGTGCAACAGTTGGCCATTGAAAATGCCGCACCAGACATTTCCAGAAACTCTGTGTGTGTGTGAGTGGATTCTTACAGAACGGGGACTTTCTAACGACCAAATATGTTCATCATGAGAATTAAAGGTTCCACGCCTGATAAAAAGCGATTCATCTGACCACAAAACCAAATAATTAAAATCCGCATTTTGATTATGCATTTGTAGTAACTACTCACAAAAATTTCGCTGTTGCACTTCGTCGCCTGGTTGCAGACATTGCATATTTTGCCGACGGTAAGGATGTAAAATGAACGCGTAAAAATTTTTGGGATAGGCTGGCGTCTGTCTGGAAATATAAGTTGATACTCCCGAGAATCCGCTAGAGCATTTCCTTTACAGAACCCGTACACAAAAATAACATCGGCGTACTCATAATTGCTAAATTCCATTTCGGAACACATAAAAATGAAAAAAAAACGTTTGATTTGGCTTTTACAAATAAAAAAATTGTTAGTGGTAATGATAACCGTATAACACGTAACTTTGTCAAACTATCTACCAAGAAAGGTCAAGCTGGTACCAAGGCTTCCTATTTTAGTTTGAAAGTAATTGTTTCTCGGCTCTTCATGAATGATCTAATTTGTTTTATTTTTATTTTCACGAAAACAGTGCAATCTAAGAAAAAACACAAGGGTGAAAATTTGTAGCAAATTGAAGGTAAAATACGGCGTACCTACTATCCTTATTTCCTGGTTCACGTTAATTCCAAATAAAGACTACTGAATGTGGACAATAATTAGGTAAATCCACATAAGAAATTTTAGCTCATTCGAGTTGATGATTCAGAAGTTATTAAAAAGATATTTTTAAACTTCAACTATCTTTTCAATGAAGCCCTCGAGGTAAAAATGTTATATAGAAGACCCCCCTAAAATGCGGTCCTGTGTATGATGTTTCACTTTTGGTCACGACTTCTGAATCACTCTGTATCTATATTCATTTTCATGAAATATTTATATCTTTATATCGATAAAGTACCTATTGCCAATAATATTATCATGTCGAAATTGACATACGAAAAAAAACAAAATATGTGCTACTCTGCGAAGTGATCAATATAATCGAAAACATTCAAAAACGATTTGTAGCTTTTTGAAATGCATATGTCGAAATTTTTTTGAATTCAAACGAACATGGTCGAGTACCCAATTAATCATGAAAAGCTCAGCCTGGGGATGGCGCAATGCCTTTCTGTAATTCATTGGTACGCTTGGCACGATTTGTCATGTTCTTGTAGTTTTTGTTAACCTGCTGTCAATTTTCATGAGGTTCTACTCCAGATCATCTAGTTTCAATTCAAAAAAGACGCTAGGCAAAGCACCGGATAAAGTATTTTTCTTATTCTCCGAGATGCTAAGAGAAAAGTGGCGTAAAATTCTGAAAAAAGATAGTATATCTTCATAAAGGAATGGATTCTGTTATGAACATGACTTTAACGTAAGTACTGAACACATGACTTCAATTTTACCCAAATATGATTAGTTGTCTTTAAGTTTGATTACAGAGATTTTGTATCTCTGTAACTACATAATATTAATCTTTAATACTATAAGCCAGTCTCATTCATTGTTGATTACACCCAGGAAGGCCATATCTGAAGAACTACTTCCGTTGTCTAAAGTACACGAGAAGGTTATAAGAACAACCCGATGGATACCTGTCTTCTTTCCAAGTGATCAAACTGACAGCTTGACAATTAACAACAGTCTATTCGTCATTGTCCGTCACAGCGGTCCGTGGGACCTTCGCTCTTATGAACAAAGACCTGCCAGGTCAAACAAGAAGCGGTTGACTGTTTGAAGTCGAGATGGTGATTACGGTTCGATATTTTGAATGTACTGCGTACTTTTTCAATTCTTTATTAATCAATATTAGTAATTTCATAGAGCTTAGAGCTGGGGGTTATATACTGATGATAAAAATAACCGATATATGACTTAATCATTTTGTTACAACTATAAGTTTATTTTTCTTCACGTTACCTCATGCCTACATTGCTTACGGGACATATTGTGGTGTTCCATTTTAGTATAGTCGCGGCGTTTGCAAAAAGTGTGTTGTTCAAAATTTCTCCATTAGTAAGTAGTCAGTCTGTCGAGTCTGATATTGAATATATGTCGACTATACACAATAAAAAACAGTGGTGATAGTGTAAATCCCAGGATAACTCTTTCCTGTTTTTAGACTTCTTGTGTGTTCTGGATTTCAACTCGTAACATGGAGACTTGATTCCAGTATAAGTATACGGGGAGAATATCGGACCGCTTTTTTTATACCAGTCTGTGTCATTATATCAAAACATAGACTGCAGTATGGAATCACGGCTTCGCCATTCTTTCAATGCTTCCATCAGGTACCCCCTGTGACGAAGAAGAGCCCCGAAACAAAGATAATAGCTCCAGACATGCCACAAGCTATAACAATAAAACTACACTTTCAATATTTACCTTTATATACTCCTTTCCGGCAGATTAATCTTTTACGACCCCGTGCTGCCAAACTGCGTTTTTACTGATTCCTCCGTACGTGATCTGCCGTACTTGAGGGAATGAGGAACGTACACTCCGACTACAATCATCATTTGTGGAACGGCCAAACTTGGGTTATGCTGAGACGTCAATATTGTTTTATGTTCCGAAAAAAGAATCTGGAGCCAAGATTAATATCTCAATGGCTGGAGGATCATAAGCTGATTTATATACCAGGCAGGATATTGTTGGTCGTTTACTCAATCACCCAGGGAAACACCTAAGCCAGGGTTGATTCGAAGAGCAGAAGATTTTCCGCAGATCACCAGACACAAGATACTTTACACTGGAAAAACTAATCAAATAACTTATTTAGTGATCAATTTTATGCAAAAGATATTTCATACAGTCCCCAAAATACTGTATATATTTCGTTATATGTTCCGACATATACAGAAATCGCTATGTAATGCAATACATAACAGATTATGGGAACGCAACTTCTGGCTCATAAAATCTCATAATACATTATTTAGTTTTTACTTGTTATACATATTATGATATTTAATACGTCAGCTTTTTTATCTTCTGTACAGTGCCCCACATCCAAAATAAAGCATCAGATTTATACCAGATCACTACACTAGCGTTTTCATTTGTTTGGTAGAAATTTACAGTGTAAGAGGTACACGGAATTTTAGCAGTTGTAAATTTTATAGTTGGGGAAATATTTTCTCAAGAGTTACTTTATTTAAAATCTGGAATTTCAATTTCAATGTGTTTATAATAGAATCCTATATAAAAGAACTATATCATATTCACATTATACGTCTTTGAACTAAAAAAAAGAAACTGCACCAAAATGACCACCATGCTGTAGCCATATAAAGTACAAACCAACTAAAAAACATGCTCTCAAACTACTGCAATATGAACTTGCTTCCAAGTGGGACATCCTATAGGTATACTGAACAAGCGATGTATGTACTGTATTTTAAAAGGAATAAAATCAGCCTTAATAGATGAAAAGAGTGCAGTGGCAAAAATAAAAGCAAG